ATTATAAAATTTAAAGCATCAAAAATAGTGTAGATCGAGCAGATTTATGAAAACTTAAAAATATCGAAAATTGACTGTCCAAAAATACATTACAAGATGTAAGATTTCCAAAACTTGAAATCTATTTTTATCTCATGTCAATGCATATTGATGTCGAGATGATCAACTTGATGATAATTGAGCATCAAAACAACCTCTTTTAATGAAATTTTTGAGATAGGCTCTAATTTGATTGTTTAGAGCCACGGCTGTATATAAATTTTTCCATACCATTTTTCTGTATACCGGTGAACAAAAACCATCCCTCAATACAAAGGGAAAAGAAAACCCTATGTAAAATGTTAGATCAATGAATTTTACCACTATTTTTGTTGGCGAAGGTCCGAAATAATTAGAGCACAAAACCACCACAAGAGGCTCCATCAAAGTGACGTGACGTGTAAAGACCACTTATCATCGCCTTTGTCTTGAGTCCTAAGTTCACTCCTTTACGTTGGTTGAGAATGTGAATACAACAACCTGCCGCCCCTAAAAAGGGACAAACCTTTTCAGAAAGATTCATCCTCTACTTCCTCAAGATTCTTGGGATCTTCCCTGTTTTTTCTTTCTCTCTCTAAATAGTTCTCTCTCTATTATTTTAACTTTTTTTTTTTTTTCCTTCCTTCCTTCTTAGCCAAAATTCTCTCTCTTCCCATGTTCTCCAATTTTCTTTGCCCTTTTGTTTCCTTGGCTCAAATTTCTTCTCACCCCATCTCTCAACTTGTTGTCTCATGTTTTTTATATTATTATTATTATTATTATTATTATTATTATTATTTTAACAAAAAACCATCTATTTTTTGTATACGGATATCACAATCATTTCCATTCATATTAGATGTTAAATTGGATGGCTTGGAATGAATCACAAAAATAGATAATTTTTTTTTTAACTTTGTGCCCATTCAATGATATTCTTACAACAACCCATTTTGAAATTTAAATGACAAGATTTATTGTGACCTCTATGTACTAAAGATAAAAGAAAAAATTTATATAAAGTCGAAGCTCTAAACAATCAAATTAGAGCATACCCCAAATATTTCACTAGAAGAGGTTGTTTTGATGTAAAATATCCTCAAATTGATCATCTCGACCTCAAGATGCATAGACATGAAGATTTATTTTTTGGAACTTTGTGTCTATTCAACGACACTTTTACAACCACCCATTTTGAAATTTAAGAAACAATTGATTATGACGTCTATGTACAAAAATAAAAGAAAAAATTTATATAGAACTGAAGCTCTAAACTCTCAAATTAGAGTACACCTTAAACATTTCACTAGAAGATGTTGTTTTGATGCTAAAATATCCTCAAATTGATCATCTCAACCTCAAGATATTTGGACATGAAAAAAAAAAAAGATTTCAAGTTTTGGAAATAGTGTATCTTATAACGCATTTTTGGACCGTCAATTTCCAGGATTTTTAAGTTTTCATAAATCTGCTTGATCTACACTATTTTTTAATCGTTAAATTTTATAATTAGAGATGAAAATATATTTTAAGGCTATCACAAAGATTTCCGGTGTTAAAACCACATTTCTTGACACTTTTTGAAGGTGAACTCTAATTTGATTGTTTAGAGCCCGAGCTCTATATGAACTTTTTCCTATATAAAAAGAAACAAAATGAATATACAATTGGAAAATTGTTTCATGCGGACTGGACCGCATTTCTACAATACCCGGTCCAGTGGTATAAAGCATCCATCTTAAAGATGGATGCAATCAGGTGGTCCATTTAAAAACAAGTGTAACTAATTGTCCAAATGTTTTTTTAATATAACTACTATTTTTAGTTTTCAAAAAAAATTCATATTTATGATCTCCATGATTATATATTCTCTAAAACTTAAAATCAAATTATATTTAAAAAATATATTTATTGGCAAGCCCATATTTCTACAATATGTAAGCTGGCCGCATAGAAACGGTGTCCTAAGTAATCTATGCTCTCAAAAACGGGGAAATAACCTTACCCTTTTTTATAATAGCTATGTGATGGTGATAAATATAGATATACAATCAACTATATAGGGGTACCTTCCAATCGCTATCAATCACCACCGATCAGTTGATTTGATGGTGATAACTTTTGTGAAATAACCTTAACCCTTTTACGGGCTCAAAATAATTTATCTCGGAACGTCTACATACTTGGCGATGCACACTCCAACGGTTCGGATTCGAAGAAAAAAAATGGATGACCATAATTATATGTAGTGCCTTAATTTTTTACTTTTTAATTATTGGATTGACATGTGAAATTACACGTACCTAAAAAAATCTAAAAATTAACTCAATATAAATGAGTAGAAATTTATCAAATTATCCATAAGACAAAAACAATTTAACAACCTTACCCATATCTTTTTATTTAAATTTGAAATGCCCATAAAAATACCTATAATCTTGAGTTAACAATAATTGCAAATGGGTACGATGTTAAATACTTCATCTCTTATATGTATTTTGATGAAGTTTCCAAAAATAAATTGTCAAAAATAGTTATGATCGTTTTAAAATCAATTTGGTAAATTTATTCTTAATTTTTAAATATTTTTATAAGTTCAATTGACTAACAAATATACACGTCTAAAATTTCAAATTAATTCACTTTTATATAAAACTTAAAAGTAATAAAACAATTGTAATTGTAATTATTCATTTTTCATCTCATAATTTGAACCGTTAGAAAGATACTTATGAACCATTTTAGTATCCACATGATGTAAATGGCATACTTCTTTATACATTTTGCAATCAACATGTGAACACATTGGGGCTCTGCCACCCTGACCTCCCATGAACTAAGGGCCCATCGCTGTGAAACATTATTATATTTTTCTGAAGATAATTCCTTGGACCCTGGCTTAGAACACCAAATGGACCATATCTCTTGGGAGAAAAGAATAAATGAAGGATCTACCCATTTTATTTCATCGTTTAAGGTGGACACCTTATATATTAACCACACCCCTTAAAATAACATCTTAATTTTGAAAGGTGAGGTTGGTACAAGGCATCATCCTTGAATAATCAAAGGAAGGCATACTTCAAAATTATGCTGAAAGATGCAGCTTCAGTGCTGGAAAGC